TTTGAATTGCATAGGAAACCAGAGGGATTTAGAAAAGCTGTAGCTGTTGGTCAAAGTCTTTGGGAGGCTTCTATCTTTCCTATGAAAATATATTGTGCTCTGATTCAGTTCTTCCAGCCCAAAAAGGAGAAGTCTGATGGAGACTTCGAGAATAGGTTCTTTAATACCGAGGGACAGGATTAGAGAGTAAATCCTGAAGCCGACTTGACCGTGGCTCTCCCTCTTATCTTTTTGTGAATGGCCTTAAAACAGAAATAAGGGATGTAATATGCAAGGAAAAAATAGAATGGAATAGCCCCATGCCCAAACCTCCAAAAGCTTGAAAGCTGTATTTTGAAAGAGCTCTGGAGCTAATAAACTCAAGGATAAAGAACAAAAAAAGTTATTAATGAAGATGTTCAATTTCTCATTCTACTCTTAAACACTTCTCTAAAAATTAAAGGACAACCTTACAACTTTTTGATTGCAATGGGCACAATATCAACCTTAAACCCGAGCACTATTACACCACCTTTTCTTTGGAGTCAACAAACTGCTCCAGTCATGCATCTATGGAATAATCCTCACCACACCTTCTCCAGGCCCCAGAGCTCAACTGTCAGCCTTGAATCTTAACCAAGGAATATCCTTTTCTCTTTTGTGACACTACACTCATTAACTTAATAGCAAGAGATTTACTGTGTGAATGCTCTCCCAATGGTCTCTTCCTTCCAGCCCTCAGATGACCTCTCTATTCGTAGTGAGGTCCCGGTTAATTTGGATACTGACTTACCAGTACTTTTGTGTAGATCAAGCACAGATAGAGGCTCTCTTGTGGGCAAACAGTTCTAGTGATATTCTACAGGAGCTAAACCCATCAAAATTCAGACAGACTCATCTAAACCTCTACGCAAACTTGTACAATAGCTTCTAAAACAAAGGACAAAGAACTAAAACTAATAATCAAAAGCCTTAAAGAGAAAGTAGTAGTCTTCATATCTCGACAAAGTCCTTGTAACACTCATTGTCTCACTGAGAAACCCACTGGGCAGAATATAGATGTAATTAGGTCCTCAGGGCCATAAATAAATTATTCACTCTCTGCTTCTTTAGAATCAAACTCAAACACTATTTTATCTTCAAGGCTTAAAGAGACTATTTTACATCTGTAGAACTATGTTGTACTTTCTTTGGTGTCTCTTTAAATCTAAAGTTAATCATTGTTTGTCCTCTCCAGGGAGAATTGACAACATGCCTGGACCGCTAATGCCTTTACTGAGGTGCCTTCTACTTTTCACAAGACCTCCACCAGGGCCTCAAGAGCTTTAAATCGCCCTGTGATTCTATTCCTATCCAACATGTGGACGATCTTTTATATTCCAAAAATGAGGTGATTCATCTAAGAGCGATTCATCTATCTACTTACTCTTTTAGCTCAGAAAAAAAAAAGGCATATGGATTCCATAGTTAATGATTTGTCAAAGGAAAGTGGACGACCTGACAACATTTATCCCATGGAGGTAATTTTCTTACTCCCAACAACCGGTGGTACAAAAGTTTCCCCACCAAGAATGAGGATTCCTAGGTCTCTTTGGCCACTGCAGGCAGTGCGTTCCCCACTCCTCTGCAATTCCCATGCCTTTGACTAATCCAAGTCCTTGGTAACCAAACCTTTTCTCTGGGAACCCAAACCTGAACAGGTTTTTTTGTGAGTCCAAATGAGCTCTTCAATACCCTCCCATTCCAGGCCTAACTAGATATCATAAACCTGTCAACCTATAATTATAGGAGAGATTTCAGCAAGCCCTTTAACTTCATGAAAATCAAGACCAATAGATTACTTCAACAAGGCCTAGAAATTAGAAGCAAAAAAAAAAAATCCCTTTTATTTAGTAAAAGGACAGTTAATTAAAGTTTAAAAAAATGTTACATGCACTTTAATTCAGCGGTCCCCAACCTTTTTGGCACCAGGGACTGGTGCTCCTATGAGAATCTAATGCTGACTATCTGAGGTGGAGCTGAGGTGGTGATCTAGCGCTGGGGAGCGGCTGCAAATACAGATGAAGCTTCACTTGCTCACTGTCACTCACCTGCTGTGCAGCCCCGTTCCTAACAGGCCACAGACCTGTACCAGTCCGTGGCCCAGGGTTTGGGGATCCCTGCTTTAATTGTTCTTAAACTGTTTTTGTAAAATGTTTCACACATTGCCAGCATTTTTATGGAAGCTTGAGGGGAAAAAATTGCTCTGTGAACTTTTGTCTTACTAAAGCAAATAAAGATTTTTTTTAAAAAGACCAATAGCTTAGCTTACCACAGCCTCTCTCCTGATCCAGTGGCAAGAGCCTCCCAGCCTTGTCTGGGCAGTGCTAAACTAGTAGAATCTTCTGGCGGCTTGGTTTTAGGGTCCCCTTTAAACCAGATGATGGTTCCTCATGCTATACCATCTTTGTTACCCTGTGAATTTCTCGGCAAGTTGATTTACCTCCTCTGAACTTCATTACTTCCCTCTGATATGCTACTAAAGTCATCAAGGCAATGCTCCCCGTCTCTCCAGTGAGCAATGAACTCAGCTTTGCCTGATCAGCAAGTTCTTGGGTAGTATTTTCGAGCTATTAAATGACAACAGTCTTTATCAAAATTTGTTCTAAACTCTCATCTGAGAGATTTCAAATTATTAAAAAATAAAAACAACCACCACACTTTATTTATGCCAAATATTTATTGGCAAATATTACTGATACAATCATGCTGGTTTTTTGTTCTTGTTCCTACAGTCTCTTAGTCCCCTAAAAAATGCTGGTCGCTAGTGGACTGGGCTCTTGTCTGCTGGAAAAGAGCAGCGAAGGGGCATGTGTTCCGCAGTGTTGAGGAGCAGGAGCTCCTCATAAGTTGTAACAATCATACTAGGCAGGGTTTTCACTGGCAAGGGGTGTTCCTCCCCACCACCACCCATGCACACAAAAATACTGAAGCACTCATCAAAGAACAAGCAGCCATTCCCCTTCAGTTAGTTCCCTGGAGTCCTGAGTAACCTGGGGGCAGGGCTGGCAAAAGATGGAAAAGGGAGGGAGGAGGGGAGGTTTGCTTATTTCCATAAGGACTGCCTCCCTCTTATCAACTCTGCTTTTCTTTCCCTGCTCCTGGGCTGACTCTGGGGAATGCCAGACATGGGGCAAACCACAGGGTGTTCTCAGGCCACCCTCACCCAAAGGACATGCACAAGTCACTCTCCTAGTGAAATCCAGTTCTGGTGACCAGCAAGGACAACCAAAGGGTAACTAACTAAAAGCCAGCTACAAGAGTTGAGAAGGAGTGTGTGTAAATTAAATAAACTGTCTCTAAATTCTAACTGCCAGAGCTGTCCCAATTTTCCTTTTTCTATCTCCTGGCCTCTGGTAGTTCAGTACAGACCCCAGGTGCTCAGAGCAGCACCAAAGGTCAGGAAATCCTGCCCTCCAAGCAAAGAGTGGAGCTGCATTTGGAACCTGTGAAGGAGGGTATTTGCGGAGGAGTTGGGGTGGAGTGGGGGGCAGGAAGACTGCCTTCAACAGATAAAGCGCTGAGGCTGCAGAGCGAAGGGCCCAGTGGAACTAAGCACCAGGAACCTGGGCTCTGCCTGACAAAAACTTTCCGTCACAGTTATCCAGAAGCAGAAGCAACAAGTCTCCTAACACTGAAAGTGATCAAGCTCTCTACCGTGTTCAAGCTCTCTACCGAAATCAAGGGTCAGATAGTGATGAAAACCTCCATGTGGGGAAGGCAGACACTTAAAAGCTTGCACTGACTGTTTTCTGGAGTCTTCAGTCTGTGCCATGCAATATGTCACTTAAATACAGGGTTTTTCATTTTGTTTTGGTCTTGCTGTGATTTCCTGTGTAACGGCCTCTATCCTTACTTTAAACCGAGGTCGCCCTGGAGGTGGGGCCACCATAACCAGTCTCTGCTCCCTTCCTCCAGGCCACCATGTAATCTTTTGAACTTCTCAGTACCCGACTATGCCCTGCCAAGGGCCTTGCACATCTTTGATCATTCTTTAGACACCAGAATTAAGAAATAAATAAATACCAAGTTGGAAAAAGACCTTAAAACCTTTAAGAAATCCAGGACAACAGGATTCCGCAGAGGACAGGCCAGCTGGTTAGTGCAGGGGAATCAAGTCGGAAAGAGGAACTCCGCGGTTTAAAAAAAAAAAAGGAAAGAAAAAATCTGTCAGAGCAGAGGCGTCCAGAGTCGAGAGGCTCCGAACCAGCCTGTGTTCTCTCGCTTACCCCGGGGTTGGCGCGCAAGGCCCGCACGTCCCAGCAGG